CTTTGCATGGCTGAGCCATAATTACCCTTACAATTTTTTTTTTTTTTTGCTATTTCTCTCAGAATTAAACGTCATTTTCCATGTGCCATTGGAAACTGTTATTCAAGACATGAACTTCCAAAAACATCAATAGTTGAACCATTGTATTTCCTTGGCTTATGGTCCTTGTTATTAATGCCATTGGCAGTGGCTCTACCAAGATGAAGACAGACACTTTCACACTACACTACTATAATACTATTATTCATGTTTAACTGTTCCATCCTATGGAGTCTTGGGATTTACAGTTTAAAGAAGAAGTATTTAGAATTCTAAGCCAGAGAGCATTAGTGCCTCACAAAACTACCAAACCAGAATAACATAGTAATTTCCTTGTAAGTTAATGTGGAATCATAGTGCTATTATTGTGTAGTGTGAAAGGGCCCCTATAATCAAGTAAAATGCTGGTATCTATGAGTTTCTTTTTTCCATTATGATGTACAAATGAGCATCAATTGTTCACCTCTAGTACCGTCAGAAGCCAGGAGAGGAGGAATGCTGAGCTCATGGACTTTGATTTCTAGTTCATAACTTAATGTGTAAGGAACTTTATACAAAGAACAAAGTGACTGTAAAGATGAAATATCTATAAGATTACTGCTTACAATACCTTGCCTATGGTTGTGGGGAGAATTAAATGCTGATGAAAACAAATTGGCCCTAATGTGAAGGGTTCATCTAATTGTATATTTTCCTAAAGCACCACTCTGTAATCTACAGAGTGTACATTTTACCTATAAAAGACATAGCATGGAGCAATAAACAGAGAGAACACTATTATTACTTCTTCATTTCTGCAAAATGAGCTATCATTATGAAGTGTGCTCCAACAGTTTTAGTGCTAGATATTCAATACAGACTTGCTGAGAACTTCAGTTTTCTCCCTGGTGGATATTCACTATTATTCAGTGGGAAGAATGGGGAATTTGAACTGTTTGCCCTCTGAATGGAGACTTTCACAGTTCTCTCTGGTGTCTTTATAATAAACTGTCAAGGAGGAATTTCTTTTGCTGGATTCTTGAAGAGAGCTTCTTTAGTTGGGATTTTACAACTCGAGTACTGTAATTTCTGCTTGCTGGGGTGAACCTGTCATCATGATATCAGGCTTTAAATAAATAAATAAATAAATGATATTGCAATCCTATGGTTTGGTACTTACAGAAGCATGAAAAAATGAAAGGGAACAACAGAATGAATCAGAACCAAAATGCTAAACAAAATGATCCATGAAAAGGAAAAAAGTAACATCTCTATTAGAGGGAGACAAAAATGCATGCATTTTAGTTGAGTTCTCCCAAGATCTTCATCAGACTTGATGGTAATTTAAAAATAAAAGCAGGGTGTGAGGGAAGAGGAATGTGATGGTGAGGATTTGAACTTAAAACAAGCAGTAACTAAATAATAGCATTAAGGCCTTAAACTAAAATTCTAAGGCTTTGTACTGTGCCAACTGCTGCACTTGCATTATGCCCTCCCCACAAATGGATTGTTATTGTTGTGTGTCTTGAAATTATTTCCAATTTATGGTCACCCTAAGGCAACTGTATCACAGTTTTCTGGGGCTGAGGGTGTGTGACTCTCCCAAGATCACCCAGTCAATTTCCATGGCTGAGCAGGGAACTGAACCCTGATCTTCAGAATAATAGTCCAAAGTTCAAACCACTACACCATGCTAGCTCTATTATTTTAATCTAAAGTATCAAAATTTGTGTGCCATGTTTGGGGAGTTTTATCTCTAGAAAATATATGTAGGAAGCCTCTACAAAAGTGCTACTCCACTGCCCCACTATGGTGTAGGGATGAACCCAGGTTTTCAATATCTGCACCAACACAAAATAAACTCTGCAGGTTTTACCAGGCTGGTAATGCTTTGAGTGTGGCTGCAGAGGTGGAATCTGTGCATGTCATCTAAAGACCAGCCTTGCTAAGTAGAAAGAGGTTCATCACCATTAGGATGGCCATCAGGTTAAAAATTGGCATAGGAATAGAATAATTGTCATCTCTATCATTGAAGGGATTAACATGTTCATGTCCATGTCCATCCTGGCTAATTAAAGCTTCCTAGCCAACTGGGTGGTGGAGGTGGTAAATGCTTCTTTGAAAGAGTGCTGTGTTCCAACCTCTCTAAAAGAAGCAATTGTAATCTCTACTTCATTCATTCATTCATTCTCCACACTGCTATATCTTTAAATTATACCACTATGGAAAGCACCACATTTAGCTGAATGAAGTGGAAAATCCATATAGAAACTTGCCCAGATACAGACATATATCTTCTTTTTCAACAAGTGCAAGCAATGGGATGTTGTTCCTGGAGACCTACATGTGGGGAGCCTTTGCAAAACTACGTATCACGTAGTGCTCATGGGTTCTACTCATGCTGACTGGTTCTGCAG